AGACTTCATTTATGTGACACTTTTTTATATTAAGAAAATGTAGTTGCAAAAGTGCACACGAGGGAACCACAGAAAAAACTAAACTGATCTCAAAATTAAAGCAGTGAAAAACTTGAGCTAAATTTATTAGAGCCTAGTATATGTCAATAATTCATAATGGAGAAAAAATAAACAGTGCATTTTGGTTCATCTCTGTGTTTTGAGTTTTATTTTTATTTATCACACATAATCCTGTCCCAAACCACTGTGATGCACCAAACATTTGTCACCATAAATTTCTGACATACTCTAGGCTCTAATAAAGTTAGCTCAAGTTTTACTCTTTTATTTTTGAGAATATCAATTTATATCTTTTTGTTTTCTTTCTATATATTTTTTTTTACTTTTTTGTTTACTTTGGGTGTTCTTTTATGGCCCTGTCATATAAAAATAGACCCTGCAGGTTTATGAGGAGGAGTTTTGTGGCCATTTAAAAATGGGAACCCTCAAGGATTTCTAAAATGGCAAACGTGGCCTAAATTTGAAGATGACCAACATTTTAATGTCAGAGTGAGGAGCCCGACAGCAGCAGTTACAGGAAGACCACATTTTTTACACACACAAACTGAATTGGAGCCAGAGTACGTGGAGCTGAATTCGCATCCAGGCTCACTTCCTGTTTGGAACACGGCGGGTTAAGCAAGTAAGTCCACTGATAACTGCACATACCTCCTGCAGAACTTATGGGCCTCCTCCCATGTTCTGGGTCTGCTGTTGTACCAGTACCACCTCCTGATGACAGAAGACTGCACTGGACCTGAGCCGAGCCAGAGGAAGAGGAGGAAGAGGAGGAAGAGGAGAGGCTGCTGCTCCATCACCTGCTCACAGAAAACACAGAGAAGAGACGTTTACGCTGAGTTCACAGCATCAAAACGGCACCAAACACGTCTCGAGAACCGCTCCTTTCTAACCCAAACGGACACGTGGCCAAAAAAGATTTACAATTATGAGTTTTATCATATTATTTCAAAAACGACCTTCAGTTACAGATGTGAAATTTTAATCAAGTTTAAACTAGAATGAGATTTTCTGTACAATGTCAGCTGTGAAACTGCACCATAACCTGCTTTACCAGTGAGAAAACTTCTAACTTTCTTCAGTTTCAGAATTATCCAGATTATCACGATTTTTCCAAATCTCTTTGATTAAACCACAAACGTCCAGACCCACGTTCCTCATAGACTTTAAACCCAACGCCCCTGAAAACCAGAACAGAACCAAAACAAAACCAGAACAGAACCAAAACAAAACCAGAACAGAACCAAAACAAAACAGAACCAAAACAAAACAGAAAAGAACCAAAACAAAACCAGAACCAAAACAAAACAGAAAAGAACCAAAACAAAACAGAACAGTTCGTCGTCGTGTTCTCCCCTTGGTTCTCCCCTTGGTTCTCCCCTTGGTTCTGTTTGGAGCAGATTGGTCGGGTCTCCTCTGTCTGAAGTGACCCCGACCTGTCTGAGGCTCTGAGGTGGACCTGGGGGAACCTCCCAAAGACCTCCTGTCCTCTTCAGTTCTGGTCCAGTCCAGCTTCAGGAGGAATTAGGACCAGAGGAGATGATCGGACCAGAGAGAACGAAAACTCAAGCCAAACCAAGACGTGGATATAAACAGAGAATAAAACTGTCTCACTAAACACAGACTAAACCAGGACTAAACCAGGTCTAAACCAGGACTAAACACAGACTAAACCAGGTCTAAACACAGACTAAACCAGGACTAAACACAGACTAAACCAGGACTAAACCAGGTCTAAACACAGACTAAACCAGGACTAAAACACAGACTAAACCAGGACTAAAACAGGACTAAACCAGGACTAAAACAGGACTAAAACAGGACTAAAACAGGACTAAAACAGGACTAACTGTGCCAAAGACCTTTAAAGCTCTGAAGACCAGATCTAGTCCAAACATGACTTTTTTAACTCCCTGCACTAGAGAAAACGGTCTGCTCCTGTCGCTGCTGTCTGCTCCTGTCGCTGCTGTCTGCTCCTGTCGCTGCTGTCTGCTCCTGTCGCTGCTGTCTGCTCCTGTCGCTGCTGTCTGCTCCTGTCGCTCTCGTGTGCTCCTGTCACTCCACTCACCTTCAGCGTTCTCGTCTCAGTCTGAATGCAAAAACACGGAGCTGTGGAACTGCAGAAAAAGAAATCAATATTCAAACTGTGTCTGTCTCATTACGACGTGAAGACATTTGACTAAGAAATAATAATTTACATCAGGACCAAACTGGGACTAAACCAGGACCAAACTGGGACTAAACCAGGACCAAACTGGGACTGAACCAGGACCAAACTGGGACTAAACCAGGATCAAACTGGGACTGAACCAGGATCAAACTGGGACTGAACCAGGACCAAACTGGGACTAAACCAGGACCAAACTGGGACTGAACCAGGACCAAACTGGGACTAAACCAGGACTCAACCAGATCAGGACCAAAGCTGGATTAGAAGTCACTTGGAGGCAACTTTATCCACACTTTTATTCCTTTATCCGAGTTGTTATTTCTGCTCTCTGCACTTTATATTTTGCACCATCATCAGTTACAAAAAACAGCACATTTCTTTTCTTGTTGGAAATGTGTCGTCTTTGTCTGTCTGTCTGTAGATTTTGTGTTTATTAGGCCCGGGCGCCATGGCTGGCGTAGGGCCTGTTGTTATTGTTGAGGCGTGTGAAGCGCTGCAGGAAGGCGTGCGCACACGGGTGTAGCTGTAGCGGGCGGACACACAGAATTGAACTTAAAGAGCCCATATTACTCTATTTTCTGATGTTCTGTTGTTTCCTCATCACAAACAGACCTGGAGAAGGTGTTGGGAAAGTTCATTTTCTACATCAACTAGTTCAAAGTTCAGTTCACACATTTTAAAATGAAAATGTTTTTTTCAATACGTTGCTGCGAGCGATTCTTTTGAAATAACATTGCCAAAGCCCAAATAGAAGCACAGACAGCATTTATTTGATCAGTTTGAACCATGAAACTCTGTGTTACATCGGGTGACCGTATTTCCGTTGGTGAAAACCCGGACACGTCACCGGGGGTGGGAGGTGGGGCCTTGACATTGAGCTACAATCGTCCCTCACTATATCACGGTTCACCTTTCATGGATTGTATTATTTATTTATTTATTTTTTAACACACGGGTGGGTCAGGACTAAACCAGGCCTAAGCCAGGACTAATCTTGGACTTAAGAGAGAGAACGTCGAGCAGTTTGTCCGTAAAGCGCGGTTACACCCTTATCATCATAAGGCCCACTAGTCAGAAAGCCCACTAGTCAGAAAGCCCACTAGTCAGAAAGCCCACTAGTCAGAAAGCCCACTAGTCAGAAAGCCCACTAGTCAGAAAGTCCACTAGTCAGAAAGTCCACTAGTCAGAAAATCCTTCCCTCTTCTGTTGGTTTGTCAGCAACATTTCTCTTGAACAATTGAATGTTTATTTGATGAAAGCAACAGGGAATAATCCCTGGATCAGGGAAGAATTAGTTAAACTTTTGGATGTTTATCAATTAAAAATGACTGCAACATCAACATTTTTAGAGATATTGACAGGAAAACACATAATCATGAGTAACAGCATTAGTTAAGACCAGCAGTACTTAATGTGTTGGTTTACAAACCCACCAATGCTTTATTAAAAGAAAAAGCTTTAAAATAAAATTGAAATGAAGGTTGTAGAGCTCAACATTTTGCAAGTTGTTGCCTGAAAATCAGACAATTATTAACCCTGTTCCACTTAAAACTTAAGCCATTTCCACCCAAATCATTATTTCCTCAAACATTTTTGCTGCATTTTAAGGGTTTAATATATTTATTACTTTTAATGTTTACTTTTTAAAATATTTAAAACTTGAAATACAATTTCATTTGTAACAATTTGTAACACGACCTGAACATGGTTTTTATGACTAGAGGATCTTCTGATGAGACTGACCCCGTACAGGTTGATCGGGAAATTGCCGCTTAATCTCCGTGAGGTGTGGAGCTGAGCCGGTCCTTTCTCCTACAGTCACCACCGAGCCCATCCCGACAGTGAGTCCTGGTTCAGTCCTGGTTTAGTCCTGGTTTAGTCCTGGTTCAGTCCTGGTTCAGTCCTGGTTCAGTCCTGGTTTAGTCCTAGTTCAATCGTGGGTTAGTCTCTTTCAGTGTAGCTGTTGAAATTCTAATTGGAATAAAAATAATTTCCATTTCTTGTTTTTCTGGTGAAACACACTGATCTACAGTCACACAACTAACAGATACACAACTCATGAAAAATGACATTTTGGTTCCACACTCGTAAACACATTCTCATGTGTGACCAACATCACACAAATGTTCATGGGCCTGTGCACATACACACATTGTATTGTGGACATAATGATCATGTCAAATGGGCTGGACTCCTCATAAACTGCTTCTGTGGTGATGAACTGACCCCACTGATGCCTGATGGGGACCAGGTTGATCTGTGCTTGTTTTACCTTTGATGACATTTACATCAGTGAGTTTGATCAATCGGTTGATGAACCCAGTGTCAGGAACTACACTGGCAGTTGTCATCGTATGTTTCCAGACGTCTTCCTGGTTTATGATGTAATGTGAAGAGAGCCTATCGCATGTACCTAGGGCGATCGAAATGAAAACTGAGGTATGGTTGGAATTGTCGAACATAACAGAACATTACCATGACATGGAGATAAAGAAAACTGGGTCATTTTCAGATTTTTCCTAGAACAGAGCCTGCCGGAAGTTGTCGCATCTTTCCAAACATCTTACCCTATTGTGTCTCGTCCCAAACCTACTTACTGTATCACGACATGACATCACAAAGTGGAAAGGAGTGTTTTCAGTTTCAGAAACAAAGTAGCCAAAATATGCAAGACACAACTCCAGGTATGTTTGTGATGAGGAAAGAACATTGCGTGTAACATGAGCCCTTTAAAATCGCACATAAACCACAAAACGCATTATAACTGCAAAACTTAAATTCTGTCATTTTAATGTTCTATTACATTTATTTGACAGGAATTGAATTTCAGTAAACATGTAGACGTTTTCAACAAAGTCACACAAATTCAGTTAATACAACTTTGTATTTAACTTTCCTACAAATTGTAATTAAAGTACCTAAAACCCCGAGATAAGTCTGTTGCGTTGTCTTCTTTCACGTCCGACAAGCGATTCTCTTGGACCTCCGTAACCCGAGAGCTTTCCCCTCTGCGGGGGTCGACGGTGGGGCTTTCCCCCGTGTGCGCGCGGGAGTCGCCGGGGGCCCCGCATCCGGTCGAGCCCTGGTTGCTTGTCCCTCTTCTGGCGATTGTCCCCTGGATCAACCGCGACCGCTCTCCTCTTCACCCTGCTCTCTGGAAGTGGAAGCGCCTGATCGGGTGGAGCCGGGCCGGAACCTTCACGCGTCGGTGCATCGGGTTTAATCTTCTGTGCTGCGGCGGCGGGCTTGATCTTCTTGCGGTTCGCTCTGCTCGGGAGTTTGCTTGGGTTTGTGGAATCTTGAGTTTTTGGTTTTGGTTTGCCTCGGCGCGGTGCAGATGCAGTCTTTTCTTTTACTTTCGCAACCTCTTGTTTGGTCTTCAGGGAATTATTGAATTATCTCCTGTAAAAAAGTAAACTTGTATAAACAGGTGCACTATAACTTTCCTGGCACAAGGTCGACTCTGTCCTTTTCTTTAACCTGGAATGTTGCACTGTACGGCATTACAGGCTTCATTCATACTGACACGAAATAAATCTGATACAAGTCACACAGGTGTAAAAACATTTACTGAAATCTGATTTGACCTGAAGTGTGAACGTGGCCATAGCGACAAATATTTCAGACTTTATTACAGGTGTTTTTATTTGTCAGTGAATCCACAATTTGACCTCCAAGTTGGCCGTGTTGTGTCTCCTAAGACTATATAGTGGAACTAGGTGTGTCAAATTATCGCGTTAATTGCCATTAATTAATTACAGTCATATTTAGTGAAAAATCTAAAGATTGCATAAAACTTCAGGTTACTCATAAACTGTTAGTGCTGCGCTTTACTTTGTGGAAAGTGTTGTTTACTGTTTACAAGGATTTTTTTTTTTTTATATTTCATACATTTGTTGCTTAGTTGAGAATATTTGATTTAATGTATTAGTATTACCAAGCACTTTGTTCCCATACTGTATCGAAAATGAACCGAACAGTGACCTCAAAACAGAGGTACATACCAAACCATGATTTTTGTGTACCGTTCCACCCCAGTTATGACATCTTTATTGTAATTATAAACGTCTTAACTAAAGCATAAGAACGTTAACTGTACCAGGCTGGAGTTCAGCCTGTGCTTTGTCCTTGGAGGCCAGAGCCAGCTCCAGGGCCATGCTTTCACTGTTCAAGCGGTTCTGCATGGCACTCAGCTCCTCCTAAAAACACTTACACTTGGTTAGGACTTGATTGGGACTCCCTAAAGTCTTGGGGGTTAATGTTCCAGGTCAATCAAAGCTACCGAATGGGCCACAAACCAGGAAGATGTTTGGAAACACGCAATGCCAAGTTCTGGTGTAGTTCCTGACACTGGACTCGCCAACTGACTGAACAAACCCACTGAAGTAAATGTGCAGTAAAATGAAGAGTGCAGACGTATGTGCTGTTTGGAATCATCTGGAATTTGGCGCCTCATCTCTTCTAATCACATGCACCCAGTGCACTCGGAGTTTTGTGTCAGCGGGGAAATGATGAAAACTGAGGGATGGTTGGAACTGTTGATGAGCCGAACAGAACGGAATGCTACAATGACATGGAGATGAAGAAAACTGGAACATGTTCTCATTTTTCCTAGATTTTACTACCACGAACAGAGCCCCCGGAAGTTGTCATCACATGTGTCCAAAAGTCTGGTTTGTGAATAGAGCCTATTTTGTGCTGTACAGTGCTGTTTTTTTTTTTGTTTTTTTTTTCCATGGAGAGTGAGTTCATTTTATAATCAGCAGACATAATTACAGAAAATATTAAGGTTCAGAGACGTTTTGTGATCCGTTAAATACAGTTAACCAATACCCTTAAAAAAAAAAAAGAAGGCCCAGTTAGACAGTCTATCCCAAAACCCCATCTTACCTGTTCCCAGGGGAGGTGCTCGGGGCTTGAGTTGGCATTAGTCTCCTCTAGAATAGCCAACGCTACTCCATAGCTCCCTCAAAGAAAGATTTTCCCCACTTTTTTAACACTGTTGTTGTAGTCAAGACCGCACTAAATTGAGACCAAGACCTGTCGTGTCGGGGACCACAGGGTCACAAGACCAAGACCACGGCCCATTGAGACCAAATCAAGACCAGCTTTGTAATTTTCAACAGTTATTTGGTGTATATATTTTAAATATATAAATATATATATATATATATATATATATATATATATATATATATATTTTTTTTTTTTTTTATTCATCTCCATTTTATCACTGGTCAAGTGAGACCAAGACAAGAGGCTGGTCTCGAGTACGACGACACTACACAACACATTCAATCTTGACTAAAGAAATTCAAATATGTGTGAAAAAATATATATTAAAACCAAAGCTGAGTTTGTTTTCTGTATCACTTCAGGTCTAAAATTTGCTTTGTCTCGTCAAAAAAGTCGAGACCTGGCAGCTCAGATGAACAGGACAACAGTGTGTGGGTTGCCATGGTTGCAGTATGTCAAGTCTCCATCTCCAGACACAAAGTCGAGCTTTTAGGATTCCTGTCAACTACAGTCTCTTCTCTTTCACACGAAAAGAAAACATGAGGATGAGATGTTCACCTGCAGGCGCTTCAGCTCCTTGTCCTTCTTCAGCCTGTGCAGAAACTCCAGGCCGGCCGGCGTCAGCTCATTACCCTTCATCCCCTTTAACATGGACTCTGGATCACTGGACGTGTCTACAACGTTAAATAGATGAAATTACACTTCTATTACCTGCTAACACAGAACACTTAGATGACCATGACCACGTTTACGTGAGGTTTTTGAATTCCAAATTAATTGTTCTAGTTAGGAAATAAAATGTTCCCTTTAAGTTTACATGGAAAACACGTTAAATCGTCTTTATTTAATTCAGTTCAGTGTCTGGGGGTGGGGAAGGTTCTGATTGGACAGAGACACCAAAGTATTTATGTCGACCGGAAGAAAACACACACTTCAGCTGCTACTGGCATTTCTGTCATCTAGGTTTGTCGTGACGTCACGGACACAAACACCATCCAAACTTTTTTCATGGTTGTTCCGATGATAATTCTGGAGAATTCTCTCATCATGCTTTATGTCTGTCAGTTGAGGAGGAGAAGGGAAGAATGTTGGAGAAGAGAGAAGACGACAAAGTGAGTGTGAGGCTGTTCTACCTCAGCCCACTCCCACATCCCGCTCACAAATCCAAAGAGACATGGAGGAAAGTCCGAAGCCGGGACTGGTGGAGCCAGAATTATTTTTAAGAAGAATAGACATTTACCTGATCCAGGAATAAAATTAATTCAGCTTTAAAATCAGAATAAACCACCCACTTTCTTTGGAATTAATTCCTAATGAAAATTATTATTTGGAATTAAACTAAATGTAGCACCCTCAAGGAATGAGCATGAGCACGAGGTTTTTTAACAGGGTTTATTCACTCTTCAACCCGTGAGAACTGGCAGCAAAGAAAATAATAAATAAAACATCAAAATTAACTCTGCACCTTACAATATAATACAATATAATAATAAAGTACACAAACCTCGTGGGCTGACATCCACGAGGGGGCTAATTGTTAATCTTGCTTCAAATCCCTTCGCTATATACTAAATAAAAACAATAAACTAGTGTTTACATTGTTATTCCCATAAAATTTTATCTGACTTATTCTCATCTTACCGGAGATATTCACATGTCCGCGGCAATGTGTTGACAGCAAGGTGCGCAGTTAATTAGGTTCGGGCGGAACTTTCTATTATACTTTGTTCCACATTGTGATTGACCACTAGATGGCGCAAAGTAAAATATAAAGACAAGCGCGAAATTATATATAAATATTTGGGACCGTTACACTCCCACCAATCACTTGTGATTCATGGAACTGAATACTGCCTTTAAGCTTATGAACTAATTATTTTAACATGCAATAAACTATTTATTTATGAACTATTTATGGAATATGAATTATTACTTCAGAGTATTAAGTGTTAGGTATCTTTAATTTGCTTCCCACAGGACAACTGTCTTCTGAATGGGCCTTTCCAGGTAAACCGGTTTGGAGATACGCTTTCCCTTTTCATCCAAAGTTGGATCACTCATCAGTAGCTTAACCTTTCTCACTCTTTCGTCCTTACTAGGGTACACATCAACGATTTTCGCCAACTTCCACTGATTTCTTGGGGTTATTTCATCTTGCAAAAGCACAATATCATTGATCTTGACGTTTCTGCGTTGCTTAGTCCATTTTTGTCTACTTTGAAGATTTAGCAAGTACTCCTTTTTCCATCTTGCCCAAAAGGTATTGGCAAGGAGTTGAACACGACGCCATCTCTTCCGAAGATAAAGGTCTTCCTTGACAAATTTGCCTGGGGGTGGAGAGATGATTGTGGACTTCATGGTCAGTATGTGGTTTGGTGTTAGAGGTTCTGGGCTTGATGGGTCACATAGCTGGTCTGTGGTCAGGGGTCGACTATTTATTACTGCCATGACTTCATATAGGAATGTTCTTAGGGAGGAACTGTCGAGTTGTTTAGCTGATTGTTCTAGGATTGATGTCAGAACACTTCTTATGGTGCGGATTTGTCGCTCCCAGATGCCACCCATATGACTTGAGGCTGGGGTGTTCATGAGAAACTCGCATTCCAGATTTTCCAGTTTGGCTTGGTCCATTTCTTTAAGTGCCTCTACAAACTCATTTCTTGCGCCGACAAAGTTCGTGCCTTGATCACATCTTATCTGGCGAACTGAACCTCGTATGGCAATGAATGCACGCAATGCATTGATGAAGGCATCAGTGGTTAAATCATCAAGCATTTCAATGTGTACTGCTCTGGAGCACATGCAGGTGATTAACAAGCCATAGCGCTTTAGCTCCTTCCTGCCATCCTTGACATAAAAAGGACCAAAGCAGTCCATCCCGCAGTAGGTGAATGGTGGGGTAGTCTCCATCCGATCTTCTGGGAGGTCTGCCATTTTCTGCTGTTCCGTGCACCTCCTGAACCTTCTGCACTTAATACATCTGTAGATATATGAGAAGATACAACCTTGCTGCACCCGAGGATCCAATATCCATTTGCGCGAAGCTCGTTCATGGTGATCCCTCGCCCTTGATGGTATGTTTTCTCATGATAATGCTTAACGAGTAACGTTGACACATGGCTGTCTCTTGGAAGGATCACAGGATGTTTGACATTGGAGTGTAATGTAGCATGTGTGAGACGTCCTCCAACTCGAAGTGTGCCCTTATCGTCCAGGAATGGACTCAACTTGTGTAGCTTATTGGCCTTGTCTTTGGATTGGATTACTTTGTGATTTTGAAAGGACTTTATTTCATGTGAGAAGGCAGTATCTTGAGCCATTCTGATAACTGTCAGCTCTGCTTCCTTTCTTTCTTCAAGATTACTGACTTCATAGGACCTTTTCTTGCATTCCTTCACTTCCTTTGCGAGGCGCTTGAGTCTAGCAATGGCTTTGATCATTCTTGACCAATCGGAGAACTTGTGCAAGCGATCCAGAAGTGATCTTTGTTCTTTAGCTTGTGTCTTGAGCACTTGAATCTTCTTGACTTCTGGATCACTGCTTGATAACTCTCCCACCTTGATTTCGCTGCTGGACACGACTTTCTGCCAGAGAAGGTCTGGGCCTTTAAACCAGTTTGAGGCCATAAGTTGATCAGCTGTAAGACCTCTAGAGGCATGGTCTGCCGGGTTCTCTTCGGACGCCACATACCTCCACTGTGTAGACTCTGTACTTTGTTTGATGCGTTCAATTCTATTCGCAACAAACACATGGAACCTCCTGGCTTCATTTCCTATGTATCCGAGGACAACCTTTGAATCTGTCCAGTAGGTTTCTTGTGAGAGTCCAACCTCCAGTTCCTTTTTCAGCATATCACCAGTGCGGACAGCAACTACAGCAGCTGACAACTCAAGTCGTGGAATGGTTGTGACTTTCGATGGTGGAACTCTTGATCTTCCCATCACCAGAGAACAGTGGACTTCACCAGATGTGCTGACTGCTCTAAGGTAGGTACACATGCCATATCCAGATGCACTGGCATCGGAGAAATGGTGCAGTTCATAATGCTCTGCCTTGAAGTTATTTGGAGTGTAGCATCTTTGAATCTTTACCTTTGCTAAATTCCTCAGATCAAGCAGCCAAGATTCCCACTGAGGTCGAAGACTTTCGGGTAAGGTATCATCCCAGCTAAGCTTATCTCGACACATCTGCTGCAGGATCTGTTTCCCTAGCAAGATGAAGGGTGACACAAATCCAAGCGGATCAAACACGGAGGCAACTGTGGACAAAACTCCTCTTCGAGTGAGTGGATTTTCCTTAACAGTCACTCTGAACTGGAACTGGTCTGATTCCACACACCATTGTACACCTAGTGCTCTCTCCATGTGTACTTCACTCAACGCCATATCCATATTTTTGGCAGCTACTGTGCATTCTTCTCTTGGAAGTGAAGCTAAGACTTTGGTGCTGTTTGAGATGAACTTATGTAATCGAAGATTGCCGGTACTGCAGAGTTCACATGCTTCCTTGACGAGCTGTATTGCTTGGCTTTCTGTATCGACACTTGCTAATCCATCGTCAACATAGAAGTTAGTTTTCATAAACTTAACTGTTTCCTCACTGAAGCGTCCTTCTGCTTCAGTTGCCAGGTGCTTAAGGCCGTAGTTAGCGCATCCAGGGGAAGATGCTGCACCAAACAGGTGAACTTTCATTCTGTAGATGGTGAACGGGGTGTCGAGATCACCATTCTCCCACCATAAGAACCTTAGGTAGTCTTGGTCAGCAGCACACACGTGAAACTGGTGGAACATACGTTCAATATCGCACATTATAGCCACTGGGCCTCTGCGAAAACGACACAGGACTCCGAGCAAGGTGTTTGTAAGCTCTGGGCCGGTCAAAAGATGGTCATTGATGGATGTTCCTTGAAACTTCGCAGAGCCATCAAAGACGATTCGAATCTTTCCTGGTTTTTGTGGGTGGTACACCCCATGGTGTGGGATGTACCATGCTGGGGTCTTGTTGATGTCTTGCTCGGGCACCTTCTCAGCATCACCGTGAGCTATGATTTCCTCCATGAACTTATTATAATCCATGTAGTATTGCTTGTTCCTTCTCAGCTTTCTTTCCAAGCATTTGAGCCGATGAATGGCACATGCCTTGTTGTCAGGTAAGTTAGGCTTGTCACCTTTAAATGGAAGTGGCATCTCAAAATGTCCATCCTCCTTGAGCCTAATGCCTTCCTTCATCTTCGTCAGGAACCTGAGATCCTCTTGGGAGATCTTAACATCTTCTGCAGCTCTTTCCACGAAATCAGACTCCAGCATTTTGATTACGTCAGCAGGTGAGACAATTTCTTTTATTTGAGTTCTGCACACGTAATGCACTTGACTGGTGAACCTTGAGGATGGCTGAACATCTGGGACCACTTGCTTCACGATGACCTGGTGGCTTACTCCGAAGACATCTCCATAATCAAGACACGGATTGCCAAAACCCACGATACTCCAGCCCAGATCAGTTCTTTGTCCAAATGGCTGATGTTCCTTGCCAGACACGACTTGACGCGGAACAAGTGCTTGAGGGCAGTTGTAGCCAATCAAAAGACCAACATCACAACTTTGGAGAGGAGCGATTTCATCTGCAATATGTTCAAGATGGGGCCATGCCTTAGCAGTTCCTGGTGTTGGAATGTGA